TAAATATCACTTGTTAATTTTGTTCTTCCAGAGTTCCAAGTTCCTTTCCTGCTTTTTTCCCCCATTTTTTTTTCAGATTCAGTATTTATTGAAATGGTCTGATTCATATTGATTGATTTTGTTGTTTTTCTGGTTTGGCCTATCGTAGTTGAACGTTAGCTTGGAATCCTTTTTTGTCTTGCTTAAAAAAACATTGAACTTTGAATCTACTGGTCAATCTCTAAGTCACATATAACATTAAGGCCAAGCCATGACAGGACCGAAGTTTGTGTTCGGAGCGTACAGTAAATAAATTTAGTAATTTAGGAATCACATTTTCATTGTGGGGGGAAAAAAAAAAGAATTAGGAATCGCTACATTGTTAATACTTGTTGAAATCATTTTTGTTTTATATCATCACTTAATCACTAGGTTTTGTTAATTTTATTACTAGTTTTATTTTAGTTGTTGATAACTAATTCCACCTGAATTCTACAAAAAGTTGAATTTTGTAAGATTAGATATGTATATAATTTAATTTAATTTTATTTTATATACAAATAAAACTTTATAATTAGAATTGGAAGTAGTAATAATTTTACGCAACTATTAAATTGAGGTTTTTTCATTGGGAGAATCATCCTTGAGCTTACATGTGACATGTGAGTACTAAAAAACAAAACTTTTTCATTTTGTTTATACTGGTATTTCTCAATTTTAAAAATTGTTTGTTTTAGAAATAGCTCAATCCTGAAATTTATAATAGTAGTCTAATTAGATTAGGCTAAAATAATATTTAGCATCATGATGTATTTTTTTTAGTGCATACAATATTCATTGATATATTTTCTAGAATTAAACACCATAATTTTATTTATGGTTTAGAGTGATGAATGCACTATAAATAGAATTAGGGTACTAGAAGCACTAGAACAAATAAAATTAAAGTGCTAGATAGACTATAAATAAGGGTACTAGATATGTCTGAAAAATAATGGATGCTACTCTACCCATTAAATTACTATGGAGGAGAAGGACTTCTCAATTTGTCCATAAAATTGTCAATGCATAAATTAAAAAAATAAAATATCAAAGAACCTAAAGAGCTACACTATGATCTACTCTTTTATGAACAGTGTAACTTCTTGCAAGTTTATAAATGTATTGAATTTATAGATATGTTCCTAAGATTGGTGAACTTTTAATCTGAGATTATAAATATATCTCTATTTTAGACAATCGAAGTTTTCCAAATTAAAAAAAAAAAAGATTATCAAAGTTTATTTTATAAATTATTTTCTTGTGGGTGATTCTGTGATTAAGATTAGTGGAATGGGTAATTCATATGGCGGATGACTTTTATATTGCTCCACTCTTCTCACCAAATTTTCAGCACTAACACTCTCACAGATTATTAAACGCACGACCTATTAACAACTATGAAATTCATAATTCTAGATAAGAAAACAAAACTTAATTATTTTCTTATTTTACATTTTATATCAATGCGTTGATATGTGTGTGTGTGTATGTATCTTTCATTTGCAATTACTGTTAATAGTAGAAATTACTCCTTTGTTTTCAAATATAATGCACTTCGAATGCTTATCTTACACAAACTAATAAAATTAGTTAAAATTAATTAAGCTAATAAATTTGTCACAAAATTATATTTTTTTTCAAATTTATTACTTAAGAGTAGTCAGCTTTTGTTTCCTTATAAATCTTATATTTTCTCTCATATTGCGATTACTAACAGAAATTTTTTTAATATTTAATGACCCCATAAAATTACTTACATTTGAGACCACTGAAACGTTAACAGATACCTGCCTTGTAGTATATGAATATTATCTTTCCTAAAATAAATGACCCAATAATACAAGAGCTAAATAATTAGTTTATAAATATTAAAAAATTAATTAAGTTAGTTATTTGTAATACATAAATGTTATTTATTTTTAATAAATGATGTGATTTTTTCTAAAATATCCTTATTAATAATGTGTATTTGAAATAAAGATTATTTAAAGAAAATAAATATATAGAGACAAAATAGATTGAAATTTTGTATTTATGACCAATTTGAATCTTTAACTAATTTGTATATTAAAGAGTATTAGATTTCAAATTTGGACCTTACTATGTACACACGCATATGATGATTAGGTTCAAAAAAAAATTTAAATTAAAATTGTGTGGAGTGTTTTAGTTTGAAAAAAAAGGGTTGTGTGAGGAGTGAGTGTGGTGATAAAAGTCAAAAGAAAGGAGTTTCGTCTACGTTGCAGTAATCACTTTGGTGACTTTACGCGGCAATTATTGATGTGTCATCAGTGAACGATGCTTCCCTTCACAAGTTGGACAAAAACGTGTCTTTCATTTCTCAACTGCCTTTTTAAGTACCACGTGATTGATATATGGCCCATTTAAAATAGTTTATAATAGTTTTTAATGGTGTCTACAGAATACGAGGTAAATATATGAGAAAAGTTTTATCTCAACTTACGTGAAACATATTTATAAGTGATTTTAATTGTAATGGCAAACAAGGCCATAAATGTTAGTTAGGAGTTTATTTGATGTAAACTATAATATCTTAATTTATTTTGTTATCAAGTTTATAGCTTCTTCCCCAAACTATCTATATTGGGTGCATATGGTAACAAAGTTTATAACAAAACGTAATTCAAATGCAAATAATTATTAAGAGAATATCTTAGGAAAATCAACAAACATTTTTTTACAAATAATTAATTAATTTAGTGTTTTTAATTTTATAAATGGTTTTTAATTATATCTACTTATTATTTTAGATAGATAAAAGAAAGTAGTTAAATTGGCTATTTATAAAAAAATATGCATTGATTTTTTAAAAATATCCTTTCAAATAATTTGGAGAAATAAAGGGGATAAAATAATTAAAAATCTTATATTTAAGATTAAATTTAATCTCTTTACTTGCGCAGGGGATAGTAACACAAATTGGGTCTGTAAATTTGTTTTTTTGTGGAAATGTCTTACTATGTTTGTATTAGATAAAAATTTCAACAAGATAGGATGAACCGATTGAGTATAAAATTTTCAGTTTGCTCTGTAAATAATCTGAACACAACGTTTCTTTTGTAGAAACGTTGGACCCGCCATTAAACTTTGTCTTTCTTGCTGGTTGATTTTCCATGCCATGTCTTAATACGAATAATCTTCCATATTAGTAGTAGTTTTTCTTCGCAATGAAGCATTAGACCTGGTACTAGCTTGCTTCTTTCTACGTCCATCTTTCTCTTCTTCCTTCCTTCTAGTCCTCCTCCGTTCTTCACTATTAGCCTTATACTCATTCCATCCAGATTCTCACGCTTTTTTTAAAGTATCCATTTATATTAAATTAGATTCATCATTACTGTTGTAGATACAGGTATTTTTAGATTCTGTTGGCCTTTCCTCCCTTAGCTAACAGAATCAAACCTGAAAAAACTGTTTCTTCACCCACTGAGGAACTGATTCCTGTGTCACCATCCATTTTTTCATCTTCCTCACATCACACCAGAAGCTCTGTAACCACCAAGTGCTCGCTTTTCTTCTTATATATCAATTCAAATTATTGAGTTCCGAGCTTTCAAATTAGGCCGTTTTGAGTTCAATGTTCGTTTTACAGAAAAATTCCGAAAAGTTCATGAGCGGCATGGATTTCTTCCTGAACGCGAAGGCTGTGCGGCTCCGGAGCCACCACGACAAGTACCTGCTGGCGGAGGAAGACGAGGAGTCCGTGACGCAAGACCGAAACGGGTCATCCAAGAACGCCCGATGGGTTGTGGAGACAGTACCCGGATACGACTTCGTGATCCGACTCAGGAGCTGTTATGGCAAATACTCACCGCCTCCAACCAGCCCTTCTTGCTCGGCGTAACCGGTCGGAAGGTGCTTCAGACTCAGCCCGGGAGGCTCGATTCGTCCGTCGAGTGGGAACCTATAAAAGACGGGTCTCGGGTCAAGCTCAAGACCCGGTACGGGAACTTCCTTAGAGCCAATGGAGGCCTGCCACCTTGGCGAAACTCCGTGACCCACGATATTCCCCATAGAACCGTCACACAGGATTGGGTCCTCTGGGATGTGGATGTCGTAGAGATCCATGTTCAATCTTCTCCTCGTCAGAATCCCTCGGCTCCACCTCTGCCTCATTCCGATTCTCTCGACTTCGAACCCTACACCAAATCTCTCCAATTTTCCAGGCAACAGGTATGCGATTACGATCCGTTAAATTTTTCTGTTAAATCTAAGCTTTGATTTTGAGTTACCTAGACAGAATGATTGCCAATTTGTAGTTCCGTTTTGTGATGATTGGTTTTGAAATTGTTTCACAGTCGAGTGATTCGAATGTGAGTTCGCCGAGTAAAGCGGAGGGACGAATCATATACTATCATGTGGCTGAAGACAATGGTTCAGTGGAAGATGAAGGAATGCAAGGATATTCTCTGGTTTTCAAAGGGAGTGAGTGGAAGAATTAACTCGTAAAATTGAGGAAGAGACGGGGCTTGAGGGAATTATCGTCTGTTGTCGTAGTCCTTTGAATGGAAAGCTTTATCCTCTTCGCTTGGATCTTCCTCCGAACAATGTCACAATGCAGGTCGTTCTGGTTCTTCCTGCTTCAACAGGTTAGTTTCCTTCCTTGTAATTGCTGAATCCATGTCTTGACAACCATTAATGGTTGAAGTTCCCTTTGTTATGCTTATAATGCTCAATACAACTTGCTTAAAGTTAGACTTTCAATTCCAGATGTTTTGCTAATTTGTGATTGTGGTAGGTGATCTGCTACCAAGTTAGTTACCTCAAATTTATCTCATGGACATTAAGCCAAATCATCTCTATAAAATCAAGTTAAAGAATTGGATCATGCTGATAATTTAATCAGTTAATTGTTTAACGATTTAAAAGAGATTATTGACAAGGATTGAACTCTACACTATTGGTATGGGATTTCTCTTTCTTCAATATTTTTATTTAGACTTTGTTTAGGATGATTTTCAATTTGAATGTGCTATCCAACACATCGACTTGATGCATTTAATATTGAACTTCAGAGTGCTAGTAAAACGGAGTAAAACTCAATTGTTATCTTCATGCTTAATATGAAATTCAATTCAAAAACTTGAATATTTAAGTGAAGATTGAAGAGTAGATTTAGCAATATCTGTAAAATCTCAGTTAGAGTGAAATCCACTAAGCAGACCTTTGAAGCCCTAATTTCTTTCTTTCTTCTCATCATACATTCCACAAAACAATAGATCCAAACCCTTAAAATAAGACTTCACTAGAGGCGGAATGTTAAATTTAAAATGGAGACGAAACTTACTGTTGGTAAACTGGTATTCTGGTAATCCTCTCTGTTTGGTGGCATGCAAATAGCACGTATCAAGTTGATTCCGTATGTTGCCTATTTTTCATTCTGGTGGGGTTTATATCTTCAAGGTATCTCTGTTGCCTCAGCATTTTGTTCTTGTTGATATGGTGTTTCAGTGGCACGAGAATTCGAGCAACAAGGTTTGCTGTGAGACGCCCAAGTTATTGCAATTTTGAATCTATTCAAATCCAAACAGCTATGTACATACTAATCCAAGCCGATTCAGAGTCTTTGTGGAAGCATTTTGGACTATGTGTTGCAAAGCCGCTTCAATGGAGATACCTTGGTAACAGGGGTCGTAATTTCAATACATCACATATATACGTAAATATTTGGATGCTGGATTTGTTAAGGCTCATCTATAGGGTCTAGTTCTAAAATGCCTCATTGGTGCTGGGGAGTCAGTGGTTTGGAAAATTTCTGTTTTTTTTTTTAATATTTATATCTGTCTGAGTTGTATATAAAACCTTTTTAAATTAGAGAGTCGAATCCTTTTTTTTTTTTTTTTTTGTTTAATTACGAAATATGAACTTTGTCGGTAGCATTTCGATCAAGCCTTAGTTGGGGCTTGTTGGTTGTTTCCCATTGGGAATATGTCTCGGTTCTTCCGATATTCTTTTATTATGCAGTCCATATGAGCAGAGAGGCCTACGTCGTGGTGGGTTTTTTTTTTTTTTTTAAATTAGAAAGGCCCATTGTTAAATCTATTTCTCTCTAGATATAGATATCACACTTAAAACCCATTCTAATATGTTCTTCTTAACAAATACTTCCTCAATTGTATTATACTAGCTCTGGTTCTAATTATAAAAGCTAGTTAATTAATTTAAGGAAATAAGAAAAGAGTTAGTTAAGTTAGTTATTTGTAATAAATATGTATTATCTTTTCTAAAATATTTTACTAATCAAGTGTATTAATTAGGGCTACCATTGGTAGAAGGACTATTTGGAAAAAAAAAGCATAAATATGAGGACAAAATAAATTAGGATTTTATATTTAGGACAAAAATAAAAGTCAACGAGGTCTTATATTAAGGATCGGAGGCAGTAAGATCTAATTTTTTAAATTGGTTTATTCTTTTTATAAATTTTTTTTTTTTTTGGGTTTGTCTAAAAATCAAATGCATTTTTATCCCACTTTACCTTTAATCAATATACCCTCTATTATCTTTTTTCCATTTTCAACGTATTATTATTTAACTAATTTTAATAGTTTTCTTAAACCACATATATAGTTAAATAGTTAAGTGGGTTTTATAATAAGGGACGAAGGAGTAAGAATTAATGTCTATAATTGAGAAAATTTTAAGGATCTAATTGAAAGGAGAAAAAAAAAAACCATATTAGAAATTAGATAAAAATGCTAAAGGTATTAACCTAGTGGCATGGGAGATTGTGGATTTGATGCTGCTTGTAACCTAATGTGTCTTGATCTCTATAATATAATTCTATGTAACATTGAATTATATATCAATTTGTAAATTAGATAAATTAGATTGAAAAAAAATAATTACCTCCGATCTTTAATATAAGAGTTTATAACTACTATTTGATAGAACTTTTAATCTATACAATTGTTATAAAGACTATTTTGAAAAAAAAAAAGAATAAATATGAGAGATAAAGTGAATTAGGGTATTATATTTAGAACTAAATTAAGTGTTAAACTAACTTTTATGTTAAAGACTTGAGGTAATAAATATGAGAGATAAAATAAATTGATGTACTACCTCCGGTTTTAATTATAAGAGCTAGTTGACTAGTTTGAAGAGATTAAAGAGATAAGTTAAGTTAGTTATTTGTAATAAAATTAGTATTATTTTTCTAAAATATTCTAACTAATCAAGTATATTGGCTAGAACTACCATTGTTAGAAAGACTACCTTAAAAAAAGTATAAATATGAGAGACAAAGTGGATTGGAGTCTTATATTTAGGATAAAAATAAAAGTCAAACAAGGTCTTATGTTAAGTACTGAAAGTAGTATTATATTTAAAATTAAAATGTAATACTCCAACTAGTAGCAAGGCCGAGGAGTACGCATATAATAGAGACATGAAAAATTAAGGGAGTAAAAATTGACGATGGGAAATTTCATAGAACACTACTAGTGGAGAATGCCTGTTTTGTGTAATAAGAATAAAAAAGAATGCCTGTTTTTTGGATCATGATATTACACTTATATTAAGAATTGGAGGTAAATAAATATAGGGGCAAAGTAAATTAATGTATTATATTTAAAATTAAAATATAATACTCCAACCAGCAAGGAGGCCGAGAAGTACGTATATAATAGAGACATGAAAACTTGAGGGAGTAAAAATTGACGATAGGAAATTTCATAGAACGCTAGTAGTGGAGAATGCTTGTTTCTTTGATCATGATACTACACTTACTGAACTAACTTCCAAAAACAGTCTTGAATGAATCAAGTTCGGCCGCAAAGGACGACCCGTCTATACAGCATCTATATCTTGATGTGATTTTGAGGGAAATTCCAACTTGTCCAAGACAAGTAACGCGCAAGACAAAGTTTAGGAAGGAAACATATCGCATTACAAATTCTCAGAAAGACGATGAATAATTAATAGTATATATAAATTTAAATGACAAGTTATATATACTCCTCCGGTCCTTAAATAAGACCCATTTAACTAATTTGATTAGATTAAGGAAGTTAGGTAAATTAGTTAATTATAAAAAAGTGACACATTTTTCCTAAAACACCATAATCATCTTTCTTAATACCCCCTTTCCCTTTTCTACTTAATTATGGTTGAGGAAGTATTCATAGGGGTAATTTAGAGAAGATTGATAAATATGAGAAATGGGTCTTATATTTAGGACCAAAATTAACTTAAGAATTGGGTCCTATATTAAGGACAGGAGGAGTATTATTTATTTTTTTAAAATTTCATACTCCACGATACAAGCCGCGCCTACGGTTTTCTTGCTCATTTATGATCTGCGAAATTCGATGTTGTGTGGCTCTGAAATCCTCGCTGGCCTTTGGATGACATCCACGAATGAAGATTTGTTCTTTCAATCCCAGAAGGCGTTGATTTGTCGTATTGAGTTCCTCCCAGTCGTTTTGGTCATCTGTACGCGGAGCCTTCTGAAGTTTTAGATCAGCGAGCTCTTCTAGCGTTTTGCTCAGATCCTGCATGTCGTTTGGTGTCCCTGTACTTAAAGACCTCTCTAGTTTCGCTTGCGCCGTTTGCTTCAGCATTTCGATCTTCTCTTCCAACCCACCTATATGCATCGCTTTCAGCTTCTGTGACACATCTTCAGCTATTTTCTCTACCAATTCTGCTTCTGACCTAATTTAATTTCCATCAATTTAAACCTCATCAATCACTTATAAATTATAATTCATATAACAAAAGTACTTAATTCTCATATCAAAGTAGTTTAATTAATTAATGTGTTGAATTTATTTTCATTTTTCCATTTTGCATTAATTTAAAGCTTAGTATTTTGTACCACTGAGCGTTTGGATCAATAGTAAGAGTTGTTCCAGGTTAACCAATCCTTTAAAAAAAAAAAAGTTTAGTATTCTGTTAACCTGTACTGCTTTTATATTGGAACATGAGCAGGTCTTTTCTTGCATTTAATAGAGGCTTATTTAATAACAAATTATTAATTACTCTCAAATTTATAATTTGTCTTATAAATATGAACAACTAATTCTTCAAAATGCTGTCCTATAATAGGAATATATAAGAAGAATAATAATTAAAATTTGTGGTGAATAACCAATAATGAGAGATGTAAAAAGCATTCAATTTTAAAATTCAAATGGTGATGAGAAAAAGTTATGTACGGCTCAATTTGGTTTGACAATATTTAAATTTTGACTTTATTTTGTTTAATATCAAACAATTATATAAAAACATTGTTGAATAGAAGAAAATTATTGTGCAATCCCACATAAGCGACGTAGTAATTAAAAAGTCCACCAAGTAAGCATACATCTATTGTCATTTCCTGTATCAATATTTTGTCGTTCCATGCTGTGATACTTTTTAGTGATTGAATTGCTAATGTTGAACTACGACTTAAGTATAAATACCTGTTAGATGAACATTCCCAGCCAGAGATCTTGGCTATAGCAGCCAAAGCAAACCTCCAATGTTGGACCTTGCTCAGCGACGATTCCTTAAGCTCCTTCTCGTGGTGGACAAAAGCATCAGCAAAACACCCAGTCTGGTTTTGCACATGAGACGGATCTACATGGTAGAAAACAGGCACTATAATTTGGCCATGTTTTAACCTGCACTCCAAGATCTTCCCAAGTTGGTCCAAACACTCTTGGGAAGAAGCGTAGTTCTGAGAGAAAATGACCACAGAAAGCTTGGCTTCCTCAATGGCTTTCTGGGCACAGATTTTAATGTTCTTCCTGGTTAAAGCAGCTTGAAGATGGCCAGCAAAACTGTTGCCTATGTCGTCGCCTCTGAAGCTGAGGAACACATGAGAAGGAGAAGAAGGAGGAGCGGCAGGATCAGGAGGAGAGGCAGAGGAAGAGGAAAAAGAAGGCTTAGAGAATGACCAGTACTCCATTTAGTTGGGTTAATGAGCTACGAAATTCAAAACATGTAGATATAAAAAGATGTGAAGAGAGAGAAAGAGAGAGGAAATTTCGTGGATAGTAATAGGGTGTGGATTCTTGTGCTTTGATGGAGAAGAATGATGATTTGGTTGACCTGAGAAGTAGGGAGACGATGTTCCGCATCATACGATTGGACATATCTCTGCATCCGTACTACGTGTATTCTTTCATTTATCTTTGGTGGGAGCTAGATAGCTAATTTTCTTAGATTAAGTCAAATAACTAAATTAATTATTTAAAAAAAAATTTGCATTGATTTTTTAGGATACTTTTTAATTATTTATAATGGAAACGATCTCATATGGAAATCCTTCTTTGCAATTGATAGGAATAACTTGAAAAAAAAAAAATTTAAAGGACAAAATGAATTGTGATGCTATATTTAAAACTAAAATAACCCTCTGAAAATTAGTTTATATATTTAGCATTGATAATATTGCTATAAAATAGATAGGCTTATGGGCCATGTAAACACCCAAATTAGCCAACCCAACTCACATCTACCGATAGAGATTGAGTTTAATGAAATAGGTTAATTCCTCACAATATGACAGATTAATGTTTAAATTTTTGTTGGAGAGTTATTCACACTTAGGATCTGATAATGACTCAACCAAGATTACTTCTGTTAAGAAGAAAACTGTGTGTATGGAAACCAAAAAATAAAAAATCCAAGCTCACATGTTAATGCCGGCCCCCCTTCTCTTTCTGGTGTAAATAGCACCGATGATATGCTGTTTAACCTTTGACTTGATTAGTCGTGAAGTATTTATTATAATAATAATAATAATAAAATCTATAATTAAAATATTATCAACAAAAAGAGGATTTTTTGGCGGAGAGGTTTTTTCATTTTTATAGTTTAGGAAAATTATCATATTTTTTGGTGTAAAAATAAATTTAGTATCATAAATAATATATTATTTGAATAAAAGTAGATAACATATAACTTTGTATTTAATTATATTTATTGATCAATATATATATATATATATATATGGAAACCAAAAATAAGTAAAAAGATCCGATCAGAAATATAAAATCATTGTTTTAATTCTAGGAGCTCACCAAAAAGCTGTCATGAATATTATAGGTTCCACAGCGTACAAGAAACTCCCATACTGGTCATGGCAATGGCAGCATGAGTATATTGACTTTCTGATTCATGTTGACTTTTTGATTTAGACGCGGCGTGAGAGTCGGATTTTAAGTTTCCCAATTCCCATTTTTTTATTATAAAAATTGACAAAAAAAAAAAAGTTCATATCTCTGTGTATGTTGATTAATTATTGTTCCACCCGCCCCATACTTCTCGAAATATGTACAAAAAACTGACTGAAAATAATTGATGCATAAGAAAGGATCAGAAGGCAGCGTCATATTCAAACATACTCGTCTAATCCTATTCATAAGACAGGAAGAGAAAATATTTTTTATTCTTATTTATAGGACATTAAAATAACTTTTTTGTATGAATGTATAATTTTACCTTTCATTTATTATTGTGTTGACTTTGTTTACATGAGGTATAATGTATATTAAATTAGGATAACATTGGGAAGTGGTTCAATTTTAAATGAGTTAATGAAGTTTAAAGTTTTTCTTAATTTGTGTGAAACATGTTGAAAGTGACTTATAAATAGGACTATTAATATTTTCTGTTACACTTTGATTTATATTTTTCCCTTCACTTTTGGTCACAATTAATGTGCAATAATGAAAGACCCATATTCCAATATGTTCATACATTCAACTGGCATTCACAGTTTTAAATTTTGTCGGCAATAATTTTTGTTCAGATTTCAATTTGAGTTGCGTGAAATCTTAGCGTGAAAAATGCCCCGTTAAGTTAGTATGAATCGATATATTAAAGATCACAAATTTTGACTGGTATTATATGTGTTTTTTTTTTAAAATCATGGTCGGTGTATATATAATAGTGAAAAAAATTATTAAAGGAAATTATAATAATATTATGTTATTAATCAATATCATCCAATTTGCCGAAACACTGATTTTATAATTCAATGGTCGGGTCATGGATTCATGGTTGAATCAGTTATCAGCCATAAAGAAATTAATATATTTCAAATACATACACTTCAAATAAAAAAGCAAACCATAATAATAAAAAGAGCACATTTAAATAAAAGTGACATATATGGTAAAAAAGGGGAACATATCCATTAACACTTAATAGTCTTCAATCAAAATGCATATTTTACTTCATAATTATAATTTCTAGTTAGAGTATATATACATACATATTTGTTATTTTCTTCCTTGTAGTAATTGAGTTAATGTTAATTGAATTGTACACTTGTGGAATCGAGGTTTAACTGCTGGCTAGCTGGCTGCATCTCTTGTGCAGTAAATATTAAAAAGAAAACATAAACTTTATACATCAATTAACAAGCATAGAAAATGGACTTTTTTTCTTATTCCAACTGTTTAACCGGTGCAGAAAAGTCATATTTTTTCTGCTATGCATAGGTATCTTTTTATAAAAAGTAATTTTATTTGAGACACTATCGAACACTGAATATGAGTACATCTCCCAGCATGAATTTAAATCTTAGTTTGTTATGTTATGAGAGACTAGTTCTTTTCATTAGACTTAACCCTCATTGCTAAGTCATAATTTAATGTCAGTTGCACATGATAATCTATGTACGTAGAAAGAAATAAATTTTTTCCTTTACTTTTTTCACACTGATTAAGTACAAATAATCTAAATTTTTTCGCTAAAGTGGGTTTGGAAAGACTTTCTATGCCCATTGTATTAATTACAAAACCGATATAAAAATTCTTTTTTTTTTGTGAGAGAAATTTTAGGAAGGAATCGGGTTCACCCACAATCTAAAGGCATTGGGGCGCCTAACTTTTATGTCCCGCTTGGTAGGAGGCATTGAAAATAAGGATAGGGATTGAAATTGTAATCAGAAAAAATCATTAAAATAATATTTAATATTAATATATGGGTTTGGCTAATCTTATATAACAAGCAATCTTTTATGTAAGCACTCTTTTAATAGATTTTTTAATCCCAAATCTAATTATATCCTGAATTTTCAATGCTTCTTAACAAACATAACCTTAATTCACAGGCTGGTTCTACCCTCGCCTCCTTGGATTCCCGCTTCACTTAGCTTTGGGATGCTTCTTCCAATGTTACAACATGCTCCAGAGTCAAATCCGCTCCCTCAATGAGAGTCAAATCCGCTCCTTAGTGAGCGTGTTGAACCCCTTCACCCAAGCCACGGATTGGGGGGGGGTCCATTTTTCAAACCTCGCAAAAATGCCCTTTTGCCCTCGTGTAGTCAACTATGTACACAAACTTACACAAAGTGAAGAGATATGCATCTTATTAAACCAAAGATATTAAATTTCTGCTTCTAATAAAGAAACAGGATCATGAAACTGATCATTACACATTCAAATTTATTACTACCAAACCTTTCACCAAAATGAAGAATAAGAACAATAATAATAATGAAATTTTTCTGGGGTTAAATCCCTCGGTAGATCCCACGCCTACGATTCTCTCTCTCTGCATTAATCTGAGCAATTTGGTGTTGAGTGGCAGTGTAATCTTCCAAGGCCTTGGGATTACCAGAGCGAATCAACTTCTGCTGTTTCAGCTGCAAAATCCT